ATCTGTGAACTGAAATGCAATACTGACTTAACACCTTTCCAGATTTTGTGAAGCGGTTCTCCAATAAAGAATGTACACACACAAATACACATATTCTCAGGGAGAAGTGGATACAAACGGGTACACTGGTGAAGATTTTATTTTCAATAGGATATGGCTTAGAGAAGATATGGAGGTATAATAATAACCTCAGAACTGCAGAGCTGGAAGGGACCCTACAGATCTTTGCCTTGAGCCCCTGTCAAGGAGGTACAGTGGGGAATTGAAATCCCAAAACCTAGCTTTGAGACCTAAACTACTGAACTACCCAGTAGTTTCTCAAAAAATAAAATAAAATAAAATTGAATAAAGGCCTTGTCCATGGAAACACTTAAATTAAGGAATTCCTTTCAGAAGGAGGTGAGATTAGCTCCATATCTGCTATGTCAGAAGTGGGGGGAAACTTACTCAACTTTGTATAGCTTCTAAACATTATTGAAGGTATTAATTCTGCTCTTGATTTTAAGTGTTATATCTTATTATATGGCGATGCTTTTGTTAGTTTCATTCTGTTATGTAAACAGTTTTGAAGACTCTTGTTGGGGATGAAAAGTGGTATAAAGTCTCTTTACTAAATAAAATGAGGTAAAAATAGGGTATAATCATTGTGTGAAAATTATGCCTCTCCCCATATGGCTGCTATGAACCATTTCAACACATGTGAATTACCACCTTCAACACTACCCACTCATCACAACCCACAGAGCAAGAACTCTTAGAAAACAAAAATGAAAAGCAGATAAAAATTGTAGAAAAGAAACCACCTGCATGTAACAGAATGCAAAATATATGGGAGAATTGTGTTACTTTGAAAGCATGCAAGAAAAAAAGTAGCATACAGTAAACTCCATAAATCTAGTTTATGCTCATTGTCATGCCTCTTTGTAACACTACTGTGCTCTAATGAGGCCAAAGCATAACAGGGCAGTATAAAACCTATTGAACTCCATTAGGTATTTAACAGATATTTGCATTCCAAACAAGCTCTCTTAATTACAAATTAAATTCTAAATCCAATACCTCTAATAACACGGAGTTGCTAAATTGTAATAGCTTACATATTGAAACAACCCCTTGAGGGCGAATTCTGACACAGCCAGATTGCAAGTGACAAGCACAAGCCATTGATCTTGTAAACAATGGAAACTGACATTCAACCATCCCTTAAACTATCAGAAGCAGAACTCTTTAAATCATTTTCTACCATCTCAACCTGTCCAATGGGCAAATGTTATTCTTTTCTCCTGGCATGAGAATAATAAGGAGCACAAATTAAGGGAATATCACTGTCTGTTTCAGCTGGATCCACAACCATTGCTGCCATATCTCCTGAACAGGCAGTTGACTAATTCCTCTTTCAATTCCCAAATGGATCATTCACTACTTTGGGTAGTGTGGGCGGCATATAAATTGAATAAATAAATAAATAAAATAAATACTCAGAAAAGAGAAATTCTTTCACTGGAAGGAGCAGAAGGGATGACTTAAATGGGATAAAAGAGGACATATTTACCAAGTGGGTTCTGAGGAGTTGGGGTCTAGCTGGATATTTAGGGCATCCATGTAGCATCCTCCAAGCAAGCATATTTCAAACGTCTCAAGAACTGTTTATATCCATATTTCAAATAAGAAATCTTTGTAACTACAGAGAAAAAGGGAAAATACTATGCCATGGAAAATTTGCTCCTGGATGAGCAGGATAGCCAGTTCAATGGAATTTGTACTGGGAACATAAAGCATAAAAACCAGGACTTTGCCATTGTCTTTCTGCCATTTTGTGATTTTTGAATTGAGTAGCCATGGTCACGCACATAGAACCAAATGTGCTGTATTTTCTACTGAGGATTGGCTTGATAAGGTCTATTAATGAAAATGAATAAAAAGGAAAACAATTTCTGTCATCTATTCTAATAACTGACTGCATTTGCTTTATTAAAACATAAGGTGTACATTTATTACTTAATAAAGTGCAGGCTGTATTAGTGACTTCTGCCAGAAGAAGGTATTCCTCTGAGCTACTTAATGTCAAAGTCAATTTGTCTTTCTTGCTTCCCTTCCACAATTTTCCTCTCCACAATTTTCAGATTTCTTGTTATTATAATTTTTAAATTAAAAATACATTTGTAATTCTTGTGAAGTATTTTTTTTTAAAAAAATGTGATTACCTTTTTGTGTGTGATTTAATAGGATAAGGGAAATGGCTGTTTATTGCTGGAATTTGCTGGACCAAAATGGCAAGGAACTAGGAAAAATCAGTGCTCCAGTCGATAACTATAAGAGATCCTTAATGTACCATCCCAAAAATGATCAGCTTACTACAAAGGCCTTGTTTGGATGCAACGATACATCATACTTTATCACACCAATGAGCTGCAAACCCAAATGTTTTTCCACCCCAATCTTTCTTTAAAATTGCTGCAAAGGAGACTAAAACAAAAGCAAGTTTTAAAAAGTCTAGTATGCCACAACTAAAAGAAAATGGCTTAGACTGGTTGACATGGGAATTCTCTTTTAGGCTGCTGCCCCATGCTACTGAGAATGTAAGACCTACTCTGGGGAATCACACCAAAGTTTTGTTCTAATATAGAACTCAATTTCCAGCAGTAATGAGTCAAATAAAAGCTAAACAGCCTGTAGCAGCTGTTCAGAGAAAGTTCTTCTGCCCTCAGGTAAACTTTACATAAGAATATAAGAAGAGCCCTGCTGGATCAGGCCAGGGGCCCATCTAGTCCAGCTTCCTGTATCTCTGGGAGCACACGAGACAACCTGATACCTGTCTCCTGATACCTCTCCCCCTGCATCTGGCATTTTAAGGTACCTTCTTTCTAAGTCTGGACATTATGCATCCCCATCATGGCTTGTAACCTGCGATGGACTTTCAGCACAAAGTTGCTGGGAACACAATAAAGAACTCTTATAAATAGCCATAAGGATTCAAATATGCTACATAAGATAATGAGGAATTGCTAGATGATTACCCCACATACCTTTCCCCATACCTTTATTGCAAGGTTATCTTCCTTCCTTTGTTTTTGAATTTTTTAAATAGATTATTTTATGGAGGCCTAACTTAGATGCTTCAAATCATCCCTTGAACATGAATAGTACATGTACAAAATAGCACACTTATATATAAAAATCCCAACAATTTAAAAGAATGTGGCTACTGTTTTGATAGATGGGAATTATAAGTTCTACTGGTCCTGAATACTGCTCTTAAATTTCATCGATATACGGAGGAGGAAAAAAATTCTGCATGTAGCTATTACTGAAGAAAAATACCTGTAATTTTACCTAAACTCCCACAATAATTGCACCTTCAGCGTGGCCCCATTATATACTTTGCAATATATATATATATGCAGAAATACTAGGACATAAAACTTTGAAGTCTAGCTATTTTTATCTCTTTCTCTTTTTGCCATCAGACTACTGTGTTTGGGAAACTTAACCACTCCAGCCTGTTTTCCATTGCATTCCTTTTGGGGCGGGGAGGGCTTAGAGCTAAATGACAGAATATATGGCCAAAGAGCCCGAAAAACCCACAACAACCACAGAATATACTCTTAATTTGCAAAATCCTGGGTTCAGTTCTTGGCATCTCTAATGAAGACAATCTCAGATGTTAGGGCTGAGAAATCTCCTTGTCTGCCTAAGACCTTGGAAAGTATCCACCAGTTCAAGAAGACATAAGACTAGATCAGAGTCTCCAAACTTTTGAGTAAGCCCGAAAAACCCACAACAACCACAGAATATACTCTTAATTTGCAAAATCCTGGGTTCAGTTCTTGGCATCTCTAATGAAGACAATCTCAGATGTTAGGGCTGAGAAATCTCCTTGTCTGCCTAAGACCTTGGAAAGTATCCACCAGTTCAAGAAGACATAAGACTAGATCAGAGTCTCCAAACTTTTGAGTATGAGTGCCACATCATATATTTTCCACATTTTTGATAGCTAAAGAAATGTGTGCATCCACATGTACGTGCAGCTGTATGCAGCCCCCTGGACGCCCACCTGCCTGCACACATGCCCACCCCCTCACCCAAACGGGCCAGATAGAATGGCAAGGCGGGCTGGATGTGGCCGCAGGCTGTAGTTTGGAGACCCCTGGGCTAGATGAACTGATAGTTCTGATAACTTAGTGTAAAACAACTTCACATATTTGTTTATATGTGAGACTCTACTAGTTTTCATGACAAACTTATATTAAGGGCGGAAAATTGGAGTTTTCCTTCTCCTAGATGGGCTGCCTTCCATGGCTCACGAGCCCCACCTACCCGGTGATGAACTTATATTAATTTATATTCTAATTCTCATCAGAATTGGAGAGAAGTTGATGGGAGAGGTAGTAAAAGAACATCTTTTGTAATCAGTCTGTCTGGTTACATGATGCATTTGCTTGGTACAGTTTTCAAAGAGGTGGCAGTGTCTCCGCCTAGTTTTCATGACAAACTTATATTAAGGGCGGAAAATTCTAATTCTCATCAGAATTGGAGAGAAGTTGATGGGAGAGGTAGTAAAGGAACATCTGAAAGGTCATAGATACTTCATAACTGTTGTAATCAGTCGCAGTCTTTACATGATGCATTTGCTTGGTACAGTTTTCAAAGAGGTGGCAGTGTCTCCGCATTTGGCAAAATTAAAGGGAGAAAAAAAAAAACCCAAACCTTAAGAAAAGGAGAGAAGAGCAACATGTTGTGGCATTTTAAAGGTGCCAAAATACCTTGCTTTTTAACTTTTGCTCCCCTTCTTTTTTCTCTTTCACTTTCTCCAATTTGTTTGAAAAAGCTATCATCTGAAAACTGGGAGGGTGGTGAATGGTACAACTTAGAGAGGGAAGGAGATTCTGATAATAGACTACAAGGTCTTTCACGTGGGAGAAGGTCTCTTCCTTTCAAGCTGTACATGTTTGTGAAAGGCAGAGGCATCCCTAGCATTAATATACACATTCTCAACTTACATTTTCACTGTTGACATCAGCTTCACTGGGACATCCAAAGAGTTCCCGCCTCAGCAAGTTGCCATCGTACTCCAGGAATGTCAGATAAAGATTGCGGAAAAATTCAACATGCTTGTTCTTTACTCTCAACTTTTTCGGTGAATTCCAGTGGATGACCTAGTTACAAAAAGAGAAAGAGAAATGTGAATTCTGATCATCAAGATCTAGCCTCTTTCTGCACTCCAGTCTTAAGCATTCTTTCTGTTGTTGTTATTATTATAATGACTTGCCTCTTTCTTCAGTGCTGGAATCTTAAGGACATTTGAAAGAAGAGGTGCCATTTAGAGACTCCTTTTCCTTCACTGGGGAAATTAATGGTTTTTAAAAACACACACACACACACACCTTTCTCCAAACCAGAAAGCAAAAATGTTCAATTGCTCCTAGAATGTTGCATCCTGGGCAAAAAGGTATGTGTAAACTGAATTCTTGTAATAAATCATGCATGAAGTAAAGTGCCTTGTTAGCTTCAACAGCATACATTAGCAATGTGTCAAATGCAGCCCTGGGGCTGCATCTATCTCTCAAAGGCTGCTCTGGTGGCCTCTGGACCCATTAGACTTTCCCACCTCCACCACAAAAATTCGTTTTCCTAGTCCCTCCCCCAAAAGGTAAATTTGCTGCTCTTGAAAGCTTCCATAAGCAAAGATTAGTATCCTACATAGGGTCATGTAAATTTCCTCTCCTTACTGCATAATGTTTATAAATAGAAACCTCCCCAAACCAAAAGAAAACTTTGGGCTGCTTTTGGTTTCATAGAATCATAGAATAATTGAGTTGGAAGAGGCCTACAAGGTCATTGAGTCCAACCCCTCACTCAATGCAGGAAATACCTTGCAGTCTATGCAATGCCCAGTCATAGAATCATAGAATAATTGAGTGGGAATTGAGTGGGAAGGGGCCTACAAAGTCATTGAGTCCAACCCTTCACTCAATGCAGGAAACACCTTGCTTGCAGTCTATGCAATGCCCATAGATTCTTAAGGGGCAGCAAAATTACCCTGGGCTTGGAGAATTTGTCTACTTCTTGTCTTATATTCTGGCTGTGTCTGGATGTCAGGATAAGGCAGCACACTTTAGAACCGAGGACTCCTCATTAGCGATTCCTGCAAGTAGGAGTGACTGAATAAATTCGGATCCCAACAAAAGCTAATGTCATAAGTCAAGAACAAACGCTGCTGCAGGATTCTGACTTGCTGAAAAGGGCCAAGCTAGAGATCTCTGTCTAGCCATCAGGCAGGAAAAGCTAAGTTGAAGGAACACATTCAGGGGTCTCTGTGCTCAAAGCATTTACCAAAAAGCCACTGTCTCTGCATTCAGTTCAGGGTTGGGTATGTGTATCGTGCTCACCACTGAGTTTAAGGATCAGAGTGTCATTTGATGAATAAAACTATCATTTGGCAAATGGATTAGCTAATTAAATTCAGAAGCCAGAGTAACCCTTGCAGTCACTTGCTGACAATTAGTCATAGTTCCTGGTGGTTATGCCATCAGAACAGTTGGTTCTTTTTAGGCCAGAGAAGGAGAAAATGTGACCTTCCAGACAGTTTTGGATATTACAACTTCCACAGCCCCTTCTTGCCACTGCCTATGCTAGCAAGTTACAATTCCTGGAATTGCATTCCAAATCAGCTAGAAGGCCAAAGCTCTCCTGTTTACCTCACCATTCCCTCCCACCACCAGCTGGCTGCTGTCCCATACAAATCAAGGAAGCACCACTCCTACTCTGGCAGTATGAATGGAGATTACAATGCAGTAAGAATTAAAGGCCCCAAGGAAAAGGCAGGAGGATCAAGAAGTGACAGATGGGAAAAATTCATTTTATGGAGATTACATTTTAGGAAGGAAAAAGAGAGGATCCTTTGTTTTAAGCATTAACTTTTATGAATTTCAAAGATATCTATAAATGTATGTGCCAGGAAAGGATGGGAGAAAGGATTTAGTCGAGAACACTTTCAAAATAGAAATTCTGAAGTATTGATATGTCCATTAAGGAAATTACATGTATGGATGGTGACACTCTTAGCATCAAATGATTTCTGTTCTTTTGTTTGGCAAGTACTGTACTGTACTGATGTAGCAGTGGTTACAATGATGTAACATAGCTTTATAAACTTTCTTCTGACAGTTCTTATTATAAGTGTGAAAACATAATCTTTAGGCAATGAAAGCAAACAGAAGTGGAATTTCCAAGAACCATTTTGTGTTAAGAATAAGCCTGACTGTTGAGGAATAAAATTAATCATATAAACAGACCAAATATTTTTTTTTAAAAAAATGAATTTTGAAACCAGCAATTTACATAAAACTACTCAGAACCAGCCCTTAACAACAACAACAACAACAACATGCTGTCAAGTCAATTCTGACTTATTCAGGGTTTTCCAGGTAGAGAATATTCAGAGGTAGTTTACCATTCCCTTCTGGGACTGTGCAGTTTGCCTATGGCCACAGATGCTGGCTGTATTTGCAGGACGTACACTGGGGAATTGAACCCCCAAGTTCTGGCTCCACATACAGATACCTAAACCATCCAGCCAGCTTGAATGAGCCCTTAGCTCAATGGTTATCACAAACAAGCAGAACTAGAGAATACCTAAAATTGTGACTGCTTTTTTTAAAAAAATATGCTTTTGTCTGCTCAAGTGAAGTGCCTAGTTTTTCCAAAATATTATATCTCTGTATCATGCAATGAGATGTTCATGTAATAAACTAGAGTGAAATTGCTTGTTCTCAGTCTGTACTACATTTGACTCTGTCAATAAGATTCACCCGTGCAGAAACAGACTGACCTTCATGTTTAGCCCCTTGCATAATGCCTCAGCCACAGTGTTAAAACACTACTGAAATGAAGGTGCCTACTTGAGGAGAGGCAGCACAATAAGATAATAAAAGATAAAGCAAAGGGCACAAACTCAAACTAAACAGGTATAGAACAATATAAGTTATTTTGTCTAAATAGCAAAATATGGGAATTATTGATCAACTAAAAAAAATGCACAATTTAAAGAGAAGAGTACAAAGAAAGAACAGAGGAGGGGAGCAGTAAGGACACTGCTGCCATTTCAAAATACAATCCCCTGAAACCTGAGAAACAAATTGTTCTGAAATTTCCTCTGTACCTGCCTGCCAGCCATAAATTGTCAATCTGGGATTCTCTATTGTGCCATTCGCTGTTTGCTAATTATCAACAGAATATCTATTCCTGAAACCTAATCTTTTTAATGAACAGTGTTCTGCTACTCACTAGGTTTTAATTCTTTAAAAGAACTCATGCTTATGCATTAGGTGGGCATTTCTGGTATTGTTAAAAGAGAAATGCATTACAGAAAGAGAACCCAGAAAATGTTGAAGAAAACTAGCGTATGCTAGTGCACATATGTAGACGTGGACCATATATAGTGCATTTCCCATGGCTCGTGAAGCCAGAAGAGTAAACTTGAGTTTTAGATTTCAAATAAGATTGTGGGGCAAAGGCATTTACAGGTTCTCTTCTCTCTGCAGACAATGAATATGTCGCTGGTGAACTGAGGCTTCAGTAGCGTGGCGTACCTTTGCCAGCTTTCCCGGATGGACGCGAGACCATGTTGCTGTCTTGCAAGAGCAGCTCTGGACGGGGTGTGTGTGTGTGTGTGTGTGTGTGATAAGAGATATAAGTAGCCGTTTAAATAGCAGTGAGTAGAGAGTTCCAAAAATTTAGAGCATCAGTGGGCTTGGACCATACCTGGCCAGTTCCAGTTGACCATCTGCAATAGTTCATAGTGTTTTTAAACAGACAAGGTCTGGCGCCAGGAACGATTCAAGGCAAGCTGCCTGCCTTGACTTCTTCTGCAAAAATTAAGGGATTACCTGACTATTCTTCAGATTTCCGTACATGAAAAAATGACTGAAGGATGGTCCAAGGAAAGAGGTAGAATAAAGGATACAAGAGCTCCGATATCAGAGCTTTTGGAGGGGATTTGTAGGCAATGGGAAGTTATTTGCAGGGAGGAGTTTGAAGTCAGTTTGTTTCGGGCAGCATCCTTGCTAACTTTCTTTGCCACCCTCCGGATTAGCGAAGTAGTAGCCTCAGGAAAAGGTAACCAATCCAGGACAGCTCTGCAATTTTATGATACGTATTAAGGTAGAGGATGAAACGGTGCAGCTCCACATACGTTGCTCCAAGACCGATCAATGGGGTAAAGGAGCAGTTGTAAAACTGTCTCAATGTCATATTAAGCTCATTTGCCCGGTACAGGCCATGGTTGCCTATTTGGGAATGAGAGGTGCAGATTCTGGCTATCTTTTTATTCATAGGGATGGATCCCCTTTGACGAAGTACCAGTTCTGGGAATTAACAGACCTGGCACTTCAGAAGGTGGGAGTCCAAGGGCTCAGATTCGACACACATTCATTTAGAAATGGTGCAGCCTCTACGGAGGCAGCCCTTGGCTATTGCCCTGAGGATATCAGACAGCTAGGGTGATATGCACCATCCTCTTATCCTAGGTATGTTAGGGCACTACCTAATGTGTAGGCAGGGGCCTACTATGTTTATGTCTTACAGATGCCGCATTGGTAGCCAGGCAGAGATGCATCGTGTTGGTGGGCCACAATTATGTGTTTTGGGTAGTGAGATACGCCACTGCATCCCCATTGGGGAGCAACCTTGGCCTTGATGTGTGGGCCCACATTGAATAGAGGGGGCGCAGCGGCATGCTGTGGGACCAGCTTTGTCATGTGGTTGCCTTTGGACAACACCTGCCAGATGTGTTAGTGAGACATCTGGCTGCCAACGATTTGGCGCGGTATCCTGGGAAGGCCCTGATTCTTGATGTGATCTGTGATCTCACTTGGTTGAGGGGCACTTATCCTGGCATGCATATTATATGGTCGAGAATCATCCCTCACCTGTTTTGGAGGGACGTGAGACATTTTATACCCGTAAACACTGCCCGACGGGGTGTTAACAGGGAAGTCTGCAGAGCTGTTTGTAGAGGCCTGGGATCAGTGGTCGACCACCACAGGATCCATTTGGATCAGCCAGAATTTTTCAGGTCAGATGGCGTGCATCATCCTGGAAGCCATCAAGGGGAGGCCTGCTTTTGGAGCTGGATCAGTTTGATGGTGGGCATGGG